CCCCAAAACCCCAAAACCCCAAAACCCCAAAACCCCATAATTAGCGTTAAAATTGAAAATTTGAATTTAAAAATGGAAGGGAGTGTGAAAGAAACTGGTAAGTTATATATTTGCAACAAGCTTAAGCCTAACAGGTCACAAGAATCCTAGTAGATATATTTAAAATTGAAAGTTAATTATTCTAGGTTCTTTCGGGACTTTGAATAACATCAAGCACAAAAAGCACAAGAGATGAGATATTAAAATGCATCCCCTAGAACTTGGAAGCTTGGGACAAAGCTATAATGATGGTACCAACAGTAGCCGTGCAAAATTTAATAATATCAAGTAAGATTTTCAGTCCAATCTAATTTATAGACACAAAAGATTACAGTCAATGCATGGAATGCAGCAAGTTTCCTCTATGAGAACTTTAAATTCTCAAAATGATTCTCAGTCAAAACATTTAAGAACAATGACTGATGCAAATGAGCTTGGTAATGCATCCTTCTTTAAGGAAGAGCTTGATCTATTCCTATTCTTGAGATAAATTGCTAATTATTTATAGACACAATGAGTGGAGAAATTATGTTTCATCCAAATTACACAAAGTCTTCAGCAGGCTTAATCAATCAGTATTGTTCCCTCTTATTTATAGAACTTACGAAAATAGTGAACATCCAGTTGAAATTATTAAGGAGGTAACAGTTAATCAGGAAGGAATGAGTAATGGGCTTGAAAGATTTTGTACAACTTATGCTGACCTCCAAACTGCATCTCATCAAAGGAGCGATTCTGTTGAAAGCCAAGTTCTCTACTCTCTTGCTTCAACTAAAAATCAGGAAGGAGGATATCCCTCTATACCCAATTTAAAACAAGGAGTTGGTTCAGAGGAGGACCAATATGAATCTGCATTGAGAAATCAGATTAATCTTGAATCCAAACTGGTAGAATATAAAAATAAGATCCAAATGTTCGAATGCTCTTCCAAGACAGTAAATAAAAAGTACCAAGAGCTCCAAAAGAAATATTCAGCATTAGAGAAAGAATCGGCTTCTCTCAAAGGAACCCTAAAGAAGGTAGAATCTGAGAGACTAAAAATCTCTGAGAAGTGGGTTAAATGCAGCTCTAAAAACAAGCAAGATACCGTCAAGACAAAGACCAGGAATGATGAGCTTTCCAAGCAGCTGATGGAGACTCTTGAGAAGGTTGACAACATGTCTAGAGAGAACAATCTTCTTAAGAAGAGTAATGATGAGATGAAGGAAATCATAAATTCACACGTTACTAAAATTAAGGCATTAAAATCTAAGAATAAGCATCTTAAGAAGGAAAAGGAAGAAATCGACAATGCAGCTGAAGACCTCTTTGAAAGATGAAAAATGTATGAATCTCAATGTGATGAACTTCTTAAGTACAAGGAAGATGCAGAACAGATAGTCGCGTAAGATAGACACCATAATTTTTAGCAATGAGTTACAAGAGAAAGATAGAAAAATTATATACTTGAAACAGGAAAAGGAAGGATATGAACAAAAACAAGAGGAATTACAACATGAGCTTCGATCAATGCAAGCTGAAATTGACTTATTGACAAACCAGATAGATGTCTCAGAGATTATCTCAGAGCAAGGATTTGCTCCTGCTCATGCAATGATAAATGGGGAATTAATGATTGCTATTGAAGACTTAGCAAAGGATATCGGATATAGTTTGAGCAACAGTATGCATAGAAATAATAATGAGATTGAATGAGCTCTTGAGGTCTCTGAAATGGCCCCATCTAATGAAGAATTGCTCCAAATAATTCATAAAGCTTCTTCAAAAATCAGAGAATTGAGAGAGCTCATTGAAAATTTAAGCAAAAAGTTATGCATCAGTGAAAACTCAGAAAGCTTAAAATATGGTAAACTTAAGAAGACAATAGAGAAATTGAAAATGGATAATAAGAGACTATTCAATGATAAAAATGAATTAGAAAATCAGTTAAGCCCCTCTTCAAAGCAACCTCATGAGTTTTACCAGAGTATGATACCGAAAGCACCTGGGACAAAATCTTCAAATTTCTTTTCGAAGCATAAGTTGAGACCTTCGAGTAAGAAGAATTTGAAAACACCAGGTCATTACTCGAAGGCTTCCATTCTACAATGAACTAGTCAGAGCAATTTGAAAAACCTAAAAATATTAAAGCAGAAGATGACTTCTCCACATCATCGAAACCAATCAGGTATTTTAAGAGGTTCATTTTATAGAACAAGACAAGTTTAGTGGGGTTCCATTCAAGACTTACACCCTTCTACAAAATTCAACTGAGCCAGTATCTCCATCAGATGGACAACCAGGGAATAGGAGGCATAGAAAAATGGCAAATCTTGTTCCAGAGAAGTTAATTCCTCAGAAGACCCTTGATATCAGGACTAAGGAAGATCTTAGGCATGGGCTAGTCGTATGGAATAAGGAGAATGTTCCAACAAATGTAAAGAAACATAGGAAGGCAGGAAGTACAGTAAACCAGAGCTCTAAACCACGCTCAAGACATACTAATTCGATGATTGATTTTAGAGTTTTAAAAGCTAATAGAGAATAATTACAACATATTCGAGGTTTCAGCTACAAGAATGAACTAAGGGGTTTTGGGGTTTTGGGGTTTTGGGGTTTTGGGG